GACCCGGGACCGCGCGGGTCCTTCGTGCGGCCCGAGTCCGGGCTGCGGGAGGCGCCTGCGGGACCCGGGCGGGGGCGCTGGGGGCTGAGCCCCCGGGGGCCTGATCCTGGCGCAAGGGGTGTGACCCTGGGGTCCTGGCCCGCGCCCGCATCTGGCTGCCGGGACTGGAGCCCGAGCGCTGCTGCCCCGCGGGAGGTTGGATCCCAAGTGCAGGTTCCTGCTAGAGCCGCAGGGAGCGAGGGCGGGTGAGCAGATGCCTGTTGCCCTCAGTTCAGCCCCCGGGGGCGGCCAGCAGCCTGGAGACCTTGCAGCCCCTGCATGAGTGTGGCAGCTCGTCAGTCTGCTCTTGTTGGGGCTAGGGGTGCCCTCCAAATGTTGGTAGCTGCCTCAAGCGCCATCTGGCTGGTTGGACCTGTGGTGGAAGCAGAACTGTTAGTGGCATCCGCGGGGTACGTTTAGGCTAAGACAGACATGCTGAATGGGAGCTTCCCTTACGGGCATCATGCAGTGTTTCCCTAGCTGCGCTGCCTCCTCTGAACTCGCAGGGGTTAGCTGTGTCCTCTGAACTCATAAGAATGAAACCTGTAAGCAGGTGTGCAGGTGTATCAGTGAAAAAGGTGCCTGGGGGCAGTAAGAGCTCTTGTAGGCAGCCCAGTTGCTTGGCTTCGGTGTAGTACGAGAGCAATTAAATCATTTAAAAAGTTATTAAATGGTGAGCCGGATTGAGAAGACGAAGCTGCAGAAATCTGGAGCAATTTGTTTTTCCTGCGTAAAGAATCTTGGTCAAACCTTTCAAACCTTCAGAGGCTCGCAAATATAATCATTGCGTGCAGTCCCTTGCAGTCAAGGATGATTGTCTTCTGTGATTGTCTTATCTATGGGTCTGAAGATGGCTGACAAGGTCTCTCTAGGATCAACAAATTCTCCTGCAGCTCGGGCACGTTTGTGTGAGGTGGGTGGCTCCAGGTTCTTGATTCGCAACATGCTGTTTCTGCCTTTCTCACTTTTCCATCTCCTGTTGTCGTCATAAGATTTTTAAAGCACTGAGATCTTTGTAGCAAACTCTGCTTTGGTTTGGGATAGTCCTGGGCTATAGTCTCCCATGAGTTGATGTGCCACTTTTTCAAGTTGGCCTTGAGGACATCCTTGAAGCACTTTCTCTGCCCTCCTCTTGATTGTATATCTTGACAGCTGAGAGAATAAAATTTTCTTTGGGAGTCTGGAGTTAGACGTCTGGATGATGTGGCTGGCCCAGCAAAGTTGATGTTGGATGACATTGACTCAACGCTTGTAGTGTTTGCTTGTGAGAAAATGCTCTGTTTTTCCACTGGATTGATGGTACTTCTCCAGCAGCTTGAAACATCTCCTGTACATTGTCCACGTCTCAGCTCCATACAGTAAGATGGAGATCACGATGGCTTGATAAGCCTTGAGCTTAGTTTCGGATCTGATGTTATGATCTTCGAACACCTGTTTCCTTAGGCATCCAAAGGTTGCACTTGTGCACTTGAAGTGATGTTGGATTTTTTTTGTCAGTCAGCCTTCTGCAAGAGATGGCTTCTAAGGTATAGGAAATACTTAATATTTTCCAGAGTCTTACCATAAATCTGAATTACTGGAGCTAGGGACTCATTAAGAGTATGTTGATGGCAGACTTTAGTGAATGTTAAGTGTCAGTCCCATTTTTTTTGTGAGCCTCAATAAAGATGTCAGGGGCTGCCTGAAGGTCTGCTTCCAAGTCACTGCACACTACAGCATCATCAGCATACTGGAGCTCAATGATTGAGGTTGGATCGGCTGAGATTAGACAGTTTAACATCCATTCGGTAGTTTTGTTCCACTCTGACTGGAAGTTTATTGGTGGTCAGATGTAGCACTGCAGCCTTGCTTAACTCATCTTAACCTCGAAGGGATCTGTGGTAGATACATTATTAAGAAATAATACATATGTGCTAGCACAGCCACAAATGTACTGTCATACGTACCTTTCCAGTGTACCCCTTACCTCAAAAATCTTGTTCCAGACAGTAGGAGAAATAGAATATGAATGATTTCAGACTACATGCTTAGGCATGCCTGTTTTGAATCAGTTCCATGTCTGCCTAACAGGAAATAGATTGTGTAGGTTTCAGGTTTGATTTAGAGGTGGAGGGTAGCTTAGGGGGAAGCTTAGGTGAAGAAAGCATTAGCTCCATGTAACTTGAACGCACAGCAGTGTTAAAATGGATGGTCTACTTTTAATTTTTAAATTGCTTAGTGTGACTTCTGTGCCAGTGTGTCAAGCAGCCCTAGGTCTTGTAATGTCTCCTATGCGCATCTGCTAGTATTATGAACCAGCTGCTCAGTAATTAGTAGTTTTCTGTGTGCTTAGAAATGAATGGAATCCCAGGTTTTGGAATGTGTCAGATAGTTGGAGTCTTGCCCTGTTAAGGGTGAAAATGGTTTAAATGCCCTTTTCACTTCTTGCAGAACTAGAGGGCTAGCTTAAAAATGGTTATACTTACACAGATCTTTTCTTTCTAATTTATTTCTCTTTTAAGTATATGTGAGCACATAATTCCTGGCCTCTAACTTTATTTACCTTTTCCTAAAACTTTTTCCTTGTGAGATGCCCATAGTGAAAGAGGTCATAATAAAAATGGCTTGGATTGTGTCAAAGAAATGTAAATTAGCTTAGTCTCCACCTGCTTTGAAATTCAGCATCACTTGGGCTTCTTGTGTTACCTAAAATGTTAAGATCTTTGGAACAGGTCCTTTGGTTTTCTGCTAATACAGCAAAGTGCCCAACATTTCTTAGTAATATTAAAATGCTAACTTCATGATTTGTTTCTTACTATGAGGGCTGTTGTAAAAAGTATTGGTGCTGGTATTCTTTTTCTCCTGCTACAGACCTATAACCAAGAAATAACAAATCACTGTCTGCCCTTATTGGAAAAGCAGAGCAACTGGTGATGTATAATATATAATATCCTTTGGGATATAGTACTTCATTAGCATTCTGGGATCCCAGATTATCAAGATGGAGGTTTCCAGGTACCTTACATATCATAATGTACCCATCACTGGGTTCTGGCTTATTCTTAGAATGCCTAAGAGAACTTGCATGTGTGTAGTATGGTAGGTGTTAATAATTCTCTCTCTCTCACTCTTTTTTTCCCCCTTCTCCTAGAAGTGGATGTGAAATAGCCACTAAGCGTGTATAGGCTGCTCCTTGATAGAGCTGATAGACACCTGTCAGGATGTTTCTGCGCATGCTGTCAGATGTGCGGTGGTGGACAGCCAGCTCAAGGTGGAGAAACATGGCCAGCTCTCGGAGCAGTGCCACAAGTGCAGCAGAGCCTCACTTGATCTCCCTGCCAGCACAGGCGCAAGTGGTAGTCTGTGGTGGTGGAATCATGGGCACATCAGTAGCATATCACCTTGCCAAGTTAGGCTGGAAGGACATAGTCTTACTGGAGCAAGGCAGGTAAGGACTGGATTTGTCTTCTATTAAAACAAAAATAAAATAAAATTTAGAACTATGTAGGACTTACACATCTACAGTGCCTCTCTTGTGTTTTATTTCCACCATTTCATTTTTTACCATCTTCAGAGACACTTCCTGAAGTCAGTAGGGTTTGGCCATTTCTTCACAAGTACAGGGAGAGTTCCAAGTTCCACAGTGTTGGCTTTGCTTTACTCAGCCAAGCTACGTAGGCTGCTTTTAAAAGAAAAAAAAAGCTGTAAATGATTTGCATAGGACAAGAGAGGGAGCAACTTTAACATTTTCAAGCATGAGGTTTGTTTCTCATCCATACTAAAATTCTGCCTGCCAATCTAACCAGGGGTAAGAGCACAGGCAATTACTGACGCATAGCAGAAGTCACGTAAAGGTGCTCCCATGTGCCTTGTGCACAGGTAGACTGGGAAGGGCTGTGGCATATGCATGTGCTCCTACCTTTATTAGGATTATCTGATAAGCCTAAAGTAGGTACAAATGTCCTCTCTTACCTAAGGCCTTTCCCGTTTGTTGATTCTGCCCCCAGCTATTCTCCTGGAAACAGAGGTACATGGGATAGTGCCACCTGCCCTGCAAAGCCCAGGAGATGCTGTGCAGGATATGCTATTCCTCAACCATCCCAGAAAGATGCCTATCCAGCTTCTTTTTGAAAGCCTGGAATAAAGAAGATTCCATACTTTTCTGAAGTAGTTTGTTCTGTTGCCCTACTGATACTAGCATTAGGAAATTGTACCTGAGTTTTAATCTTGGCCTGCATATTTGTTGCAATTTAAACCCATTCCCTCATGTCTTGATGTTTGTGGCAAGGAAAAACAAATGTAACCTTTCCTTATGTCACCTATTCAAATGGTTCAAACCTATTCTAATGTTTTCTCTTGATCTCCTTTTTCTCCAGACCTACATATATCCAGTTTTCTCAACATTTTCTTATGTGGTTTGCATTCCAGTTCTTTTGTCATCTTTTTGCTTGCCTTTTGCAAAGTCTGTACATCTTTCTTGAAATGTGGTACCAAGAATTGCATGTGATGTTCCAGCTGAGACCTAACCAGTGTTAAGTAAGGTGGTATGGTCTCTCTCCATGCCATACGTAAAATACATCTGTTAATGCAGGCCAAACTTGCATTCTCTTTTTTTTTTCTTTCCTTCCAACAGCGTCACATTGCGGACTCATGTTGAGTTTGTGATTTACCAAATCTTAGATCCTTCATGTCAGTGCTATGCCTACCCAGTTGTCATCCCTGACCCCCCCTGCATTTGTACATTTGGTTTTTCTTCCATAGGTGAATTATGTAGCTAGCCTGTCCAACAAGAAAAGATTGAGTTTATTTGGCCTGACTTTTTTTTTTCCAGAACGAAATCCACGTTGCTGGTTAGGAATCATCCCTTCCTCCACTGGATGTTTTACAACTTGATTGTTTTCTAATGTACTCTAGTACCTTCCTAGCTACTGAAGTCAGACTGACTGATCTATAATTTCTTGACTTCTTATTTTTCTTTTTCTTTTTTTTAAGATCGCCCTTTTCTAATCATTTGACATCTTCCCTGTCACCCATGACTTTGCAAACATTATTGCCAGCAGCTATGAAATTTCTTTAGCCAATTCCTTCAGCTTCCATCATCAGCCCATGTTGATTTTAAATTCATTCAAATTTGTCAAAAATGCTCCCTGACATACCCAGATCTGCTTTTCTTTTCTTTCTATATATAAATTTGCTGTTTTCTTTTGTTTATGTTGTATCGTTTTGTTAGGGTTTCTTTCCTGTGAAAATAGAGGCAAGCTAATCATTGAGCAGCTTTGCTTATTTTATCCTTTTTGTTATCCCATCCTCACTATGGAGCAGTGGGCCCAGAATTCCCCTGTTCTATCTTTTGTGTGACAGTTTTAGAACCCCCTATTCTTATCTTTTAACTTGTCTTGCCACCTTCCTCTGAGGTACTGAGATGTTGGCAGTAGCTAAGGCTTGGGATTTTTGGCTGGTCCAGCTAGTACTTTTAAAAAGTTCAGAGAGGATCCTGCATTATGGTTGTATCTCTCGCCAAATTTGTAGTCATTAAAGAATTTTTCTCTTAATTCATATGGGCATGGAATGGGAATTTTTAAATTCCTCTGTAGTATGGTATTTTAGGGATGGAGTATTATAGTCATATTGGGCTGGGAAATTTGTAAGAAGCATGGGATTTTCTGGTGAAATCTTTTATTGGACCAGCATCTATAACTCAGCCTAACCAACCAATAACAGTTTATCATTGTCAGTGATAATGCAGTTCTACCCTGGTTCCACAGAGGATGAACTTGCTAGCTGGTGAAGCTAGTGTAGCTGCCAGCCCCAACCCCTTTCCTGTCCTCTTAGGGTGTTAGTCCTAGGAGTTGCCAAGAAAATACCTAACCCAGCTACTAGGGGTTAGAATTATAGACTCATAGAAAATTAGGGTTGGAAGGGACCTCAAGAGGTCATCTAGCTCAAAACAGGACCATCTCCAACTACATCATCCCAGCCAAGACTTTGTCTAGTTGGATCTTAAACAACAAGGACAGAGGGTTTACAACCTCTCTGGGTAACCTGTTTGAGTGTTTTAACTTTCTTACTAGAAGGGCAGTATTTCCTAATATCCAACCTAAACTTCCCTTGCTGCAACTTGAGACCATTACTTCTTGTTCTGTCATCTGCCATCAGTGAGAACAGCATAGCTCCATCCTCTTTGGAACCTGCCTTCAGGTACTTAAAGGAGATTGGATTTAGCTCAGGAGGCCTCTTCCAACCTTTATTCCTTTTTTCTCGTCCTAGAGTGATTCCCTCCCCCATCCCCTTGTTGCATACAAAAACAGCAAACTGGTTGTCAGTGAGAATTACAATGCCCTATGCAAGTCGGCTACAAACCTGAGATGTCAAATAAGCTGTTGGAGTAACCGCCACAGAATCCTTTTTTTGTTTGTTTGTTTTTGGGTTTTTTTTCTTTTCTTCCTTCTGTCAGCCAGATGAGGCCTTCTTTGTAACTTCTTCTGCAGGCTGGCTGCTGGCACCACTCGATTTTGTGCTGGCATTGTGAGCACTGCCAGGCATGTGTCCATAGAGCTCAAGATGGCTGACTATTCAAACAAGTTGTATCAGCAGTTAGAACAAGAGACAGGAATAAAAACAGGTAAGCAAAATAATCTGTGGAACAAATTTCTGAGAAATGGATTCAAAGTATTAATTGGAATTAATAATGCCATTATCCAATGCCTTAGTGAGACTTCATCTAGAATTCTGTGTACAGTTCTGGTCACCCATGTCAAAAAAAATATCCTCAGAGTGGAACAGGTGCAATTTAGCAGTGTAGGAGTTCAGAGTAGGAATTAATTAGAACTGACCAGGAAGCCAGCGTGTTCAGATATATTTTATATTATTTTGGCATGTATTTCTGTTTTTCTGGCAGAACCAGCAGTCTTACTATAAACTGCTGTTTATACTCCACCAGCATATTAAAGTTGATAGTGGGTATATGAAAGCACCATGGCAGCAGCTGCACAACAGTTTCTGACCAGTTTTAATAATCACATAAAAAGCTGTTCAAGCCGTCTTTACATTTTATATATAATATAAATAAAAATCAAAATCTGGTATTTGGGTTCCTCCCCGCCACCAAGGATCTTTGTTTCAGCCAGTGCACAGGATGGGTAGTGTTTTCTAATGAACAGCAAGTGTTTTTTCCCAGTTGTTCAATATGTGGCCTTGGTGTTCAAATTGCTCTGAAAACAGATTTATTAATTTCTTTGTTGAGTTTTGTTATACTCATCACTATCATTTAAAAGCTTCACAAATATGAATGGATTTATCTTAACATGTTGAGGTGTGTGGGTTATCCTCAACTTATAGCTGAGAAATTGAGGCAAGGAAATGAAGACAAAAAGTGTCCATTAATTACGGGTGCCCAGTTTGGATTGCCAGGGCCTGTTTTTCTTTTTAGAGCACCTACCATATGTTTGAAATGCAGATCTTATTGACTTAAAGTGTAGCTGTCCGGGCCCAGCATTTCTGCATATTTTGGGTTTTGTTCCAAGCTCAAGAAGAGGGTAACAGGCATTGTGTCTGTTCCTTGCTACTTTGGCTACCTTTATCTAGTCCTTCCCCCATCTCTTCCAGTATAGGAGCTACTCCCTAAGTTTTTCCCTCCCTCTTGCTCTCAATCAAACCTAATTGCCCAGCTGTTTAGAGTTTATTTGAACATTTCTCCCTTTTCCTCTATCTCTTTTCCCAGCCAGTCCAAGTCAGCCTCCTTCAGCTCTCCATCCCACTGATTCCTAGTCCTGGTGAGTCCCAGTGTCCACCATGGCACCTTAATCTGTTCTCAGTTTCCTGCTTACATTTTGCTTGCTCAGCTAGCCCTAACTTCTTTTTCCAACCAGTTTCCCTTCTCTCTCTCTACCAGCCTCCAATCCCAGTCTTCCCTACCCGAGGTCCAATTCCCCCAGGTCTTGCATTTGAATGAGACAGCTCCACTGTAATCACTGGGCCTAGCTTGTGGAGCACTGAGAGCAGAGAAAAGCCAAACTCCCTGCTTTTTGTTCTGGTGCCTGGCCCGTGTTGGCTCTGAGTTGCAGCTGTAGGGGATGTTCTGCTCAGCCCTGGACTGGAGGTCAGATTTTGGGGGATTTTAGTTACAAAGTTCTAGTTGCTGTCTACTAAGCCTGTGCAAACAATTTTTCAGATGCTTATAAATTGGTCAGATTTGGGTGGCTTTTGCAGGGACAGCAAAAGGTAAATCCTTGACATAATCAAAGATAAGCAAACATATGAGCAAGCGAAAACAGGGTTTTTATAGTGTCAACCTTAGCACATTGTGTTGCTAGTGACCTTTATGTTTAAGGTTACTTTTTAAGTGGTTGTATTCATTCAGTAGTTGCGCAGTCCAAAAATAATCAGTTATTAAATGCAGTCTTTTCTTCCTATTATTAAGCAGTTATTGGATCAGATTGGACAGTACTCCTTAGTCCCTGCCGGTAGGCCCTTTCCCTACTAAATTCTCTTTTGACACTTCATGGTGTGAAGTATAATCTGTGAGGGTGTTTATGAACATGGGTAAATGTAGTCTAAAGCCGAGTTTAAATAACGCTAGAAGTATACATCAAACTCTGCCTCTTCAAAGTGTTTTATCAGAACAGTTGCAGGTTAGTAGCTGATTTCTGTATTAATACTGGGAGTTGGGTTTTCCAGGCTCTTGAGTACTAGAAGCAGCAGGTCCACTAGGATCAGAAGGGCTTAGAACCCAACAAACTCTGACTTAACCTTGGTTGTTGCCACAGGGTATATGAAGACCAGCTCTATTTCACTGGCTCAGACTCAGGACCGACTGATCTCCCTGAAACGCATTGCTTCAACACACAAGTATGTATAAGTAGGGAATTGTACTGGATCTGAATGCCCCTGTGCCAGCATTTCCTGAGAGGCTAACAACCACCATCCTTTTTGTATTGTGTGGCAGGGTAATGGGGATACCTTGTGAAATCATCACCCCAAAGCAAGTGGCACAACTACACCCACTAATTAACATTCACGACCTTGTGGGGGCTTTATATATGCCAGAGGATGCAGTTGTATCATCTGCCGATGTGAGCCTTGCTCTAGCAAATGCTGCCTCTCGGAATGGTATGAATTTTTAAAATCTATAGCATGCCTACCCCCTTGTGTCATGTCTGCCTTGGTACAAAGGAAAATGACCATCTGTGTGGACATGGTGTTAGCTTTTGTATTCAGATTTACAGTATTTTGATTACTAAAGCGTCCTACTTCTCTTCTTTAAAACTATTGTTTCACAACCCTAAAGCCAGATTAAAACTTGTTTCAGTATTGTATCCTTGGAATCCCATTGGGAGGAGAATTTATATAGAGCCCTACAAGTATTTTTGTTGTACATAAGAGTCCTTGAAAGTCCAGATGAAGTCAGTTTGACCAGTTTTATTATCTAGAGCCAAAGGGGTATATGATCACAGCAGCTGGAATACTTCATTGGACTGGTGGACTTCTGGGTAGTTTGGAGGCAAAGCTGGCTCTGTTGGAATTTTGTTTGGGAAGCTTAGGGTGGTGTAAAAGAAGAACAAGGTTAGGATTTAATAATAAAGATTGGACCTGTTAGGACTGAAACTTGATGAGATTGGAAGGACCTTATTAGGCCTGTGTGAATAGAGAAGTATTTGATTCGGATTTGGCTGATTCGGAGGACAGTGATTCAGTTTGGTGATTCAAATCACTGTCCGCATTCGATTTGGCTGAATCAGAATTGGAGTTTCAGTGCTAATTTGGAGATTCAGGTTGACTGGGGAGAAGCAGGCACAGCCAGGCAGCTGCAGATTCTCGCACAGCTCCAGCCATGCCCGCCTCTCCCCAAGTGTGGGGAGCCACAGGAGAAGCCCCCATGGCTGCCCTGCCCAGCCCAGCCCAGCCCCATCCCTGGCCCAGCACTTAAAAAATAAAAAAAAATCCCTGCACTCACCAGCCCCTAGACAGTGCACAGTGCCCTGCCGAGCCACACTGCACCCACACCGTGGGGCAGCTGCCATGTGGCGATGGGGACAATCCCTGCTGCCCCATGCTCCACAGGGGGGTTCTGCCATGAGGCCTCAGAGGCCCTGATTGCCCTGAGGGCAGGGCAGCCATGGGGGGCTTCTCCCGTGGCTCCTCTGGTTGTGCCCCCCTCTGCCCCAGCAGGGGGGAGCTGCAAGAGAAGCCCCCATGGCTTCCCTGCCTGGTCCCAGCCCAGCCATTGGAGAGTGGGAGGACAGGACGCAATGCAGATACAGCTCGCTCCAGGTGGCAGCAGGGCATAGCCCCTGCTCCCAGCACTACTGTGCCCCACATCAGCACTGAGAGCGGGGGCTGTGCCTTGCCGCCACTTGCCAGCCAGCGCAGAGGGGCAGGCGCTGCTGCCGCTTGCCAGCTGCCATAGTGGGGTGCGGGATGCAAGTGCAGCAGCACTGGGAGCGGAGGCTATGCCCTGCTGCCGCTTGCCCTCTTCTGCCTGGAGCGAGCCGTGCCTGCATTCTGCCCCACAGCCCTGGCTGGGAAAGCAGCAGCAGGTCATAGCCCCTGCTCCCAACACTGCCACACCCACACCTCCCATCCCAGCTGGGCAGCTTGTCCCAGTCCCAGCCCCAATTCCTCCCCCAACCCCAACAGACTTACCAGCTGGAGGCAGCTTTGTCAGCTGCCTGTTTAGTCTATGGCCGAATTGCCAAGGCGGCCAAAGCTTTTCCAATTCAATTCAGATGCTTTGAATCGATTTGCAGCTTTTAATTGGTCTCCTGATTCAATTCAGATTCAGAGATTCAGTCCCCGAATCAGGCCAGATCTCCTCTGAATCAAATCGGCTACCGAAGCTTCACACAGGCCTAGAGCTTATAAGAAGAACATGGGTGGAGTTCTGAAGTTCTTTTAGGTTGGTTGGTGCCTGATGGATGCAGCTGAGTAGAGCGAGGCGTGATACCTAGAGCCAGTTACCTCCAAGACTGGAAGTGCTATTGTCATGACTTGAGGGTTACCTGGTATGGTAGTTATGGCATGGTATCATTATTGAGAGAAATAAATGACTAATGAAACTAAGTGCCACCAAGGTTTTTGCCTTAGAGCTGTGTGGGCTGGAACTTCTGTTTTCCAATTTGATTTTTTCCCTCTGAGTCCTGCTTGTTTCCTGAATGTCTTCATGTACATTGAAGCAATGATGACTATTTTCTCTGAGACTAGCAAGTAGCTTTCATATTGATGTCATCATCCAGGCTTAACTGATTTCAGAAATAAAGTTAGAATAAAGAGTCTTTGGTTTATAGATTTCTCTTTTCATGCCATCCATTCTATTGATTTTTGTTCCCCTTTATTTGTTCCTGTTGTTCATAATCCCATATCAAAGAAATACATATTCCCAGCTGCCTGCAAGGGGGTGTCTTAAACCTTTCCACAAGGCATTAAAGCAATTCTGCTATTTTCCAAAGAAGTTAGAATGTAGAAATATGCCTCCCTTGATGGGAGGAGATGCTTTAGAACGAGCTCTGGTGTTAGCAGCCTGTTATCAGTAGCCTGTTAGCAGTAAGTCTTGTGTGTCTGCTCCTTTTTGCAGGTGTCCAGATCCATGACAGGACGAGTGTCAGTCATATCCTGGTCCAGAAGGGTCATGTGACTGGAGTTGAGACTGACAGAGGGCAGATTCAATGCGAGTATTTTGTCAACTGTGCTGGCCAGGTTGGATTATTTAATTTTTCTTCTCTCTGTTTTTGTGAGGATCCCAGTATATTCCAGTTCTCTAACAGTGGAGAAAAGCATGTAGTGACCAGTAAATGAAGTAACCACTGTTTTTTCCTGATGCTTCCCTTTTCTCTCAAAATGGACAAACTCTTGCCAGTTCCCAGCTGTCTGGTCTCTAATGTGGAAAAATATTAGTTCCTAGATTCATACCTGAAGGGATCATTCTGGTCACCCAGTCAGATCTCCTGCATAGCACAATGTTTAAGATTACCCCAAATTACTTGTTTACATCCCCAGATAGCTGTGGTAGTTACTCCGTACTTGTTCCCCCTACTCTCGAAATGAAGGTGGTTCTAATTAGCAGAGCTGAGTTTGTCATCCATGCATTTACTTTTAATAGTATTTTTCTTTTCTACAAAGCATGCCATGTTCTCCAACTTGTTCAGTTTTATACATTTTTATCTTTTAGAAGCTTACCCATTGAACTGATCTGTTATATTGCCCGCTTAATATTAAAGTCCATCTATTCATTAACTCCAAACAGTTTGGATATGTAAGTGCTTGCTGTTTTCTTGGCACTGCAATTTAAGTGTCAACCTGCTGAGAAGCACCCTGCCCTTTGACAATTTAGACTTGCCCAGAGTCATATAATGGCAGGAGCACCCTCTCTTGTGATGAAGGGCTTTGTTGTGCCTTAAAAGTATGATTAAGACCCTTTCTTTTGTTCTTGGAAACTACTGTCTTTCTAGCTACTGTAGTGTCTCAACTGTAAAGATGCGTTTTGACTGTTGTTTTTTCTCACTTTAATCAGTTATCTTCTTAATGTGGGTCCCCAACAGCAGAAGAATCTAAAATGTTATCTGTTAGGCCTTGCTTCTGATGAAAGCACAATATTGCCGTAGCAATATAAATGCAAGATATTATTGTTTGTTCTGCATTGTGGTAGTCCCTGTGATCCACAGCTCCATTGTTCCTAATGCTATATAAATGCAGAACAAAATGATGATCCCTATCCCAAAGAGCTAATGGTCCAAGTAAATGGTACAGTTCTTCTATTAAAGGGACTGAGCTGACATCAATCTGCTCTTTCGTGAGGTAAACGCAGGAGTCTTTTTAAAGAAAAAAAACAACAGAAACCCAATTTTCTCATGGCTTCTGGTCTGTGACTAAGCCTTTCTGTTTTCAGTGGGCCTATGAGCTGGGTCTTTCCAGTGAGGAACCAGTCAGTATCCCACTGCATGCCTGTGAACATTTTTACCTCCTGACGCATCCCTTGAAGAAACCTCTAGAAAGCAACACACCAAGTGAGGACTTTCCCACTCTGTTTTGTTTTTCTAGTGAACTTTCTCTGCCTTTGTAAAGATAAGACTTTCCTTATGAAGGTGTCGCTGATTGGGTGCAATTAGTCTTCCACTCTGCCAAGACTATGTTCTGGGCTTTCTTTATGCATGCTGAATGTTCAATTTGAGGGCTGGGGAAGGAAGCAACTGTTTGTTTACTTGAAGGTAAACTCTTGGTCCCAAACTTGAGCTTTAGCTGGGTAAGAGGGACTGCTTTGGAATTAGCTTAACTCTGGATTTGCAGGTGTTAGTATTTCAGTGGTGGTGTGCAGATGACACTTAAGGTATGTGGAAGGGGTGGTGCAGCTTTGGCACTGTTTTTCTTGTAGGCCATTGTCTCTAAGTAGGCCATATTTTTCTCTCTTCTAGCCGAAGTTCAGACTTTATAATGACATTTACACATCAGTGAGCTATAGGGGAACAAAAGCACTCCTGGGTGCTCTGGGCTTTGGGTTTCCCTGAGAGAGTGAGCCAGGTGTGCTTGTAGGGCTAGGAAGTAGAAAATTTTGGTTGGTTGCTCTCACTCCATCTTTTCAAGTGACTTCCTAATGAATGCCCTTCACTGACTGAGTATCTTTTATGTTTCCAGCCTCTTTGTTTGTGGATGACCTTCTGTTATGAGATATGTATAGTAGTGACTTCTTTTGCTTCTTCCCATCCCATCCTTTCTCCTTTTTCCTCTGCAGCCATTGTGGACTTAGATGGTAGGATCTACATTCGCAATTGGCAAGGCGGCATCCTTTCTGGGGGCTTTGAGAAGAACCCCAAGCCCATCTTTACTGAGGGCCGGAACCAGTTGGAGATTCAGAACCTGCATGAAGACTGGGATCACTTTGGTATGCTAGGGTCAAAGGGCTTGCAGACCTTACATGGGTGGACTTCCACAACAGCACAACAGAAGGCTTGACAGAAAGATAAAGCTGCCAACCAGGGGAAGCATGCAGTAGACATTTGTCTGTCTTTACTAAAAGGTGGGAGAAGCTTGGGAGCTTGGAGTAGTGGGTTCAGCTGTTAGTTTGTGGGGTAGACAGCATGAAAAACTCTTACCCACTGATGCTGCCTTCTCTGTGCATTGGTAGACATCACATTTTGCCTGGAGATAATCTAATCTGTATCAGATATTAGGAGAAATGTACAAACCTCACTTTTTTAAGCAGGGACTGCCAGGTGTACTTAATATGAGAATAGTTCTCCTGTGGTCAGAGTTCAGCATTTGCTACTTGCCAGATTTCTCCCTTTCATTGCCTACATAATGGTACATTATTATTATTATTCCCCCCCCCCCAAATTTTCCAGGTATGCTAGCTTGCATTTTCTCAAGGTTAATCTCCATTTTTATTTTGTGTGAATACTTCTAACTAGAAGTTTGCATGCTTTATTGCCCTTTGTAGGCTATGTGTATTTTACTTACCATGGAAGGATGCAAGGAGTTTACTTACCATGGAAGGATGCAAGGATGCTTCCTCACAATGTCACTGTGCGCTGTCTTCACATCCCCATTATTTTAGGACCTCTCCAACTCCTTGCTAATTTTTTCCATACCAATGCCTCTATATGACACTACACTCTACCTCACCATTTCCCTTGACTGCTAATGCCTTAGCGTTTGACTTTCCAGGTAGAGTGGGTTTTAAAGAAACGATGCATGCATAAGGGGCTCCTTGCATTCTTTCCCTGACCTCCCATTCCTACTAGCACTTTGTTAAATTATTCCCTTGCTTTCTGGCTGTGAGGTAGTATCGACATAAAATAATTTAAACTTTGGGCTAGTGGGTAGAACTGAGATGTGGGTGTGCTCTTTTTCTGAAATGTGTTGGGGGCTGTCATTAACAGGTTTCTTCACCTCTGAACAGTTGCAAACCTGGTTGAAATTGCTATCTGCTAATCAGCGGCATTCTCGCTGTCATGTATGTGCTCTCTTCCCTGTTTCCCCTTCTGTTTTCAGTTTTCATCAAAATTGATAAAGTTCTGCCTATATGTGTATAGAATTTATAGACAGACAAAGGATGCCATCAACCTAGGTATAGTTGCTTCCTTCAGTCAATTCCTCGGTCTACAGCTCTGGTAGATTTAATTAATGATTACAACACCATTTAGTTTAGAGTTGTCATAATAGCTACTATAAGGCCAGATAAAATGCTGGTCCTATTGTCATCTATAGAAGTAAAATTTAACCATATACTTGCAGTCTGGACTCCTGGGTTATGAAGTGGGAGAGTGAGTAGAAGTGAAGGAGCTGTGTTTCTAGTAAGATATTTTAAGGAAATGTAGAACATAGCCATTTTGTACCTGCATGTAAACCGCAGGGAGACTTTTGGGCAGTGCTGGTTTCTGGAGAAGCCTTTTGAAATACTTCGCACAAGGATATAAGTAGGAAAAGTAAATATTTGTTGTATGGCCCTGTCCTCTTCTTAATACCCCAGATGGGGTTCTTTCTCTGGCCTGTGAAGGCAAGGGTTGTTGGAGTTCAGCTGTTTCTGCTGGTGTGTACTAGTTGTACCTTTCAGACAGTGTCCTTTTGTCCTCTAGATGCATTGCCATGGAAGGTGTTGGTATCTGCTGAGATCATATTATTCCCTCTGTGATGACTCGTACATGTCCTGTAATGACCTGTGATGACTTGTTTGTGCCCAGTTTGGGGATGTAAGCAAAGTGACTGAAATGCCCACAGACTAAAGGCCTTGATTTGTCAGGATTAGAATGCCTTGTTTTGTTTTGGGAAACAGAGCCACTGCTGAGTGCCCTTCTCCGTAGAATGCCAGGCTTGGAGACGCTGGAGATAATGCAATTGGTGAATTGCCCAGAATCCTTTACACCAGACATGCGGTGCATCATGGGAGAGTCGCCCACTGTACAAGGCTATTTTGTCCTGGCTGGGATGAATTCCGCTGGAATCTCTTATGGTGGGGGAGCAGGCAAGTAAGTGGCTCACTACTATAGTGCAAGTGCAGTAGTTGGGGCTTATGTGCAATGTAACAATGTTCAAATCCTACATGTATAAAAATTTTAACTGATACTCAGGTATCTGAGTTCACTTAATATAGCCTGGTTAGTGTATTCTTTCTAGTTTCTAACTCGGCATTAATGAGGGAGAAAAATGTATATGACTTTTTTTTCTTCAGTCCATTTCCCTTTTATGTTTGTCGAGTCCTCATCAGGTTATAATCCTCTTTGCACACCTTCTCGTTCCCCTGCTCGTCTCCAGCCTTGTTCAACGATATAGTTGGTGAGTCTGCAGCAGTACTGGAAATAGCAAAGCAGACGGCCTCCTGGCCCCAGATTAAACATACTTCAGCACTCCATGTTTCGTGTAGCCAAAGGACTTGGCATAATAGCAGTGCTAGCTATCCAACTATCTGTGGTTTCATTAAGAATGCCCCCTTAATTTTCTGCTGCTTCATGAATTTCAAGGCAGTAAAATATCAATGATTTGATGTATTTGGTGGATGAATTTGAATAGTGGAACCACCCATTTGCTCAGCTTCCACTGGTGTTTGTAGCTTTTTCCTTATTGCAAAAATGAAAACCAGCCAAGCAGTCAAACAAAAATGACCCAGTTTGTATCACTTCTGATTTTAAATGCCAAACTCTTTTCAATAAGGCATCAGATAACATACAGTTTTCCTTTTGTTTCTGTCTCCAACCAGATATTTGGCTGAGTGGATGGTAAATGGGTATCCATCAGAAAATGTGTGGCCCCTAGACCTAAAGCGTTTTGGTGCTCTTCAAAGCAGTCGCACCTTCCTCCGTCACCGTGTCATGGAAGTTATGCGTAAGTAGGATCACAAGCTTTCACTTGGATATACAGAGAAGTTAAGGATTGTTTTGTTTCTCATCATCTCTTCCCCTGGCACTGAACTGCAGTCATTCTAAAGGATACTTTCTGCTTTGTTAGTAGTCATTATGGCAGTGCAGCCTTTGCGTGCCTCCTAGCTAATTCTGAATGGAAATTTAGGACATACCTAGTTAGGGCTCCAAAATGCCACACTTGCTCACATACAACACTCCTCAGACTAGGAAACGCCTTGTTTTTGAAAGACAGAATAAAGAAAAAAAATCTTTCCTGAACTTTTTGGCTATGAGGGTGGTCAACCATTGGAATGGGTTACCTAGCAATGCTCTGGAATTGCCATCCCTGGAAATTTTCAAGAGCAGGTTAAACATACACTTGGCTGGGATGATCCTGCCTTGAGCACAGGGATTGACTAGTTAACATCACAAGCTCCCCTTCAGCCCTCCTTTGCTATGATCTTACCTGAGTAGCAGCAGCTAGGTACCAGACCTGCTCACTGTTCTGCTCCCTGTGGGTCCCATGTAGATTTTTACTTGGCTTATGTTGGGCAAAAGTTTTAAGTTGCAGAAACTGCTTTGATCATATTTCCTTGCATATTAGCATTCACCAGTTTCTAGCAGCTGTTTTTGGGGAAGGCGGGAGGCATGTGCTAGATGTGGGTAGTATATAACAATAGAAAAAGAGCACAAGTTACTAGTTAAGAGCATTATGCTGTCCTAAGCATCATAATGTTCTGCATGTCAGTATACTATGGAAATGTTAGTGTGCTAATACAAGAATATTTAGGCTAGATGTCTCATTTATCATTTGTGAAGATTTTGCAACTGCTGTCTGCTATCACTAGGAAAAAAGGCTTGGCATGTTGCTGCTGTCCATGTCTTCTAATCTTCCTTCATTCCAAAGTTTCTAATCAGCTGTGAATTAAGAACCAAATTTTGTGTACCTTTATACACACAAATAACAGTTTTCAAGCTGCATAAGGGGTATTTTTTATAGTTATAGAATTGAAAACTATAACCCATGTCATGGCAACACAAGTATCCACACAACTCCTAAGAACCTGTAGTAATCTATGCGCTGCATGGGTAGCTATGCAGCTGTATATTAGGGCTGTGTGAAGCTTCGGTCGTTGATTCGATTAGGCCTGATTCAGTGGACAAATCTCTGAATCAAATCTGGAGACCCTTTAATCTCTCCGAAACAAATTGGAACCCTCCAAATCAATTCAGAAAGATTTGATAGTTCGGACATAGACACAGCTTTAAATGTTTTTTTTTCTACATACCTCAAGGTACCAGGTGGCTCATGAATGCTGAGATAGTGGGACAGATGGAGTGTCCCACAGGAGCCCAGGGGGTACCCAGAGCGGTTGGCAGCAGACCTGAAGCATTTCTGGCCTGCTTCTGGGTTTGCAGGGGAGCACACTGCCCGCCGCCCCACCCCCACCCCTTCCCCAGCTTGGCTACTGGTGCCTCCTGGGGGTGGGGGTGGGGCACCCGGGGTCTCCTCACAGCTGATTGCAGAGCCACAGGGGTGCAGGGTAGGGGGGGCCCAGCGCGCTCAGCAGTGGACCTGGAAGTGGACCGAAAGCCCACCCCTAACCACACTCCTGTAGGACACTCCATCCACCCTAGCATCACTGTGTTCACAAGCTGCACCTGGTACCTCGAGGTATGTAGAAAAAACATTGAAAGCTGTATCTGTGGCTGAACCATTGATTCTCTGAATCGGCATCGAATCTTCAGATTCAGATTTGGCCAGATCAAATCAGGACAGTGATCCGAATCAACAAATTGAATCATTGTCCCCAGTTCAGGCGGAATCCAAATATGAATCAAATACAGCCCATTTCACATGCCCCTACTTTATATGCATGAACTTTATAGATTCATAGATGCTAGGATCAGAAAGGACCTCAGTGGTTCAAGTCTGACCCCCCCAGCCAGGTGCCTGTCCAGTCTCTTCTTGAAGATCCCCAAGGTAGGGGTGAGACCACCTCCCTTGGGAGCCAGTATCTGGCAACCCTAACTGTGAGGAAGTTCTTTCTGATGTCCAACCTAAATCTGCTCTGTCAGCTTGTGACTGTCATTCCTGGTTATTCCAAGGGGTGCCCTGGTAAACAGAGCATCTCCTATTCCCTGCTGCTCCACCCCTGCCCCCTCCCAGCTTTCCCTTGCAGAGGCTGAAAAGGTCTTGGTCCCTGAGCCTTTCCTCATAGGGCCTTTCCTGCAGGCCTCTAACCATATGAGTGGCCCTCCTCTGGACCCTCTCTCAAGGTTGTCCACATCCCTCTTGAATTGCAGCACCCAGAATTGGACACAGTACTCCAGCTGCAGCCTGACCGGTGCCGCATAAAGGGCACCTCCCTGGACCTGTTCATGATGCACCTACTAATGCATGACAAAGTGTGGTTAGCTCTGCTAATTACTTCATCACATTAATGACTCATATTCATCTCGGGGTCGTTGTCAACTCAGATCTCTTTCTGCCGCTGTGCTGCTGAGAAGGTCATCCCCCAGCCTATACGTGTGCTGATGATTCCTTCTTCCTAGGTGCCAGTACCTTGGACTTGTCCTATTGTTCTCTGCTCGATTCTGTAACTTGTCCAGGTCCACCTGGATTTGGTTTCTTCCCATCAGCGTGTTTACTTCACCCCGTAGTTTTGTATCATCTGCAAATTTGGACAAAGTGCTTTCCACGCCCTCATCCAGGTCACTGATGAAGGTATTGAACAGCACCAGCCTAAGGACTGAGCCTTGGGGGACCCCACTGCCCACATCTTTTGAGGTCAATACCGACCTGTCCACCACCACTCTCTGGGTACGACCCTTAAGCCAATTTGCCACCCACATGACTGTGTAATCGTCTATGGCACAGTTGTTCAATTTGTTTATGAGAATAGAATGGGATTCTGTGTTGAAGACCTTCTTAAAGTCCAAGTAGACTACCTCGACTCCTGCATCTAAGTATTTAGTGACCTGGTCTTAGAAAGAAACAAGGTTAGTCAGGCAGCATCTACCTGCTGTGAACACATACTGGTTGCCCTTCAGCATTATATTACTCACTGGACTCCTACAAATGTGATCCTTGATAATTTTCTCAAGGGTTTTCCCAAGGGTAGAGGTGAGACTAACTGGTCTATAGTTACCTGCATCCTCTTCCTTCCTCCCCTTTGGGTATGTGTAAGTCATAAAGTTCTACCTGACCAAAATCCATGACTAGCAGATAGTAGATACAGGAGAGAGAACCAAGGGGGAGTGATTCTCCCATGTTAGCCCCATTAGCTGTATTTTTAGGGCATGTTCCTAAAGCAGGAGGCCCCAGTTTTAGTACCCCCTCAGCAGGGATGTGCCATTGCCCCTGCTGGGAGTGAAATGTAGAGATTCCTGGATAAGGATCTTGCACCCCACCCCCTTCTCCCTCCTTCCCCCAGGGTCAGACCAATCACCGTATTTGAGGTCTGGAAAGAATTTTGCCCCATGGTCAGACTGGTATGGACTGTGGAGGTTACCATCCTCCTCCATTACAGAGGTCTCGAGCATATTTTAACCATGTTTGCAGCAGCGAGCAGGATATTAGCCTGCTTTACCTATGGCAGGTTAGGGTTTTGTCTTGTCATTTTGTTAGTGTTGACTGTATAGTTTTGCTGATAAGTTACACAATGAATGTGTGTAGGATGGTTTTGATAGGGATGATCCTGCCTCAGGCAAGGGGATTGACTAGATGACCCCTAGATATCTCTTTCAACCCTACTTTTCTAGGATTTCTGCACTGTAGCAGAACATGCTAGTGCGCTTGGAAGAGTTGACGTTTGAATGACAGCACTTCAAAGGTATCATATGCAGTATATAGGGGCAGCACTGGAAAAGGTGTCTTAAGTAGCAGAATTTTCTTTAGTTATGAAGCTAAAACTAGTAAAAGGTAGTCTGTAACAACTGGCTGGAATTGCTGTAGCAATGGATATTTTACAATTATTAGTAAGGAATGCTTGGCAGGAAAGAGTAGTCTTTATATGGAAACTATACTTGAGTGTCAGTAATTAAGCAAATTGTAACTTGACTGTTTACAGCCCTCATCTGTGATTTGAAGGTTCCCCGTTGGGATTTCCAGACTGGCAGGCAGCTACGTACATCCCCTCTCTATGATCGCCTGGATGCTCAGGGAGCTAGATGGATGGAGAAACATGGATTTGAGAGACCGAAGTATTTTGTCCCACCTGGGAAAGGTGAGACCATATTCTCCTGTGGGTAGTGCATTACTGTTGGTTTAACGTGGAGCATTTAATTTGAATGGTCATCTTGATTCTTCTTTGTGTTAGATCTACTGGCTTTGGATCAGAGCAAGACCTTTTACAAGCCAGATTGGTTTGATATTGTGGGCTCCGAGGTCAAGTGCTGCAAAGAGGCTGTTTGTGTCATTGACATGTCATCTTTTACCAAGTTTGAAATAAGTGTAAGTATTGACAAATGCCTGCTCTCAGCTGCATTCCTAAATGCCCAACTGGGAGTAATTGTAGAAAAAGAACTGCATGGTCAAATGTAGGTGTTACCACAGTCCTGTAGCACTCTGGTGGTACAGGCAGTCCTCAGACTTATGACGCGCATGGTTCCTGAAAACCGTGTCCTAAGTCAAAAGGATGTAACGTGGAACCAATTTTCCCATAGGAACAGTGTTACAAATGGGGGATTGGTTCCTTTACCATGCTCAACACAGCTGCATACAGCTGGTAAGTCTGTGGTGGGCAGGAGTGGGGAGGGAAGGGACATGACGGGGGCAGATCAATGTCCTGCAGCCAGGGAGAGATTGGGGCTGGGACAGGGTCTGCCCAGCTGGGGTGGGGGGCACAGGGCGCAGGCGTGGCTCGCTCTGGGTGGGCGTGGCGGTGCTGGGAGTGGGGGCTATGCC